GGAGTCATCTCTGACTTATGGCGCCCCCATATGGGTCAGAGCAGAGCTGTGCTCCATAGGGTTTTCAGTGGTTGATTTCTTGGAAGTAAATTGCCAGGCCTTTCTTCTTAGGTACCTCTGGGTGGACTCGAACCTTCAACCTTTAGGTTAGCAGTCAAGTGGATTAGCCGCTTGCACCACCCAGGGTCTCCCTCAGCCAGGTCAAGTCCAGTCTCTCCTTTTACTCTGCAGACATACATTGAGCACCTCCTGTGTGCCCGGGTGCTGTGCTCCAGTGGTGATGTCATGATGGGCAGAGGCAGCCCAGGTCCCTACAGCCAGGAGCCTGGGGTCAGAGCAAATTGCTGGAAATAGACGTGCAATGGCCGACTGAGCAGCAGTCAGATGGAGAGACTGTGGTCCGTGAGGTCCCCCACACAGAAGAGAGGCCAAGGGTGGGGGGAGGGACAGTGAAGGGGATGGAGGGAGGAGCCGTCCAGGCAGACCCAAGGCACCTGGAGGCAAAGGGCAGAGTGTGTGTGAACAATGTAAGGTGGGGGGGGGATGGGGTCAGAGTGAGAGAGGGGGCAAGAGGCCAGACCCTGCCCTGCTGCCTGCAGGCTGGAGGAAGAGGGGAGGGGGGAACCGTGTGGCTGGGGCTGGAGGAAGAGGGGAGGGGGGAACCATGTGGCTGGGGCTGGAGGAAGAGCAGAGGAGCCAACCGTGTTGTGGTTGAGGAGCGTGTGGGGCGCAGGCAGAGCAGGGCGCAGGGAGGAGGGGCTACACTGATTGTGGGGGCACATAGTGTGAGAACCAGGACCAGGTTGCCACGAGAGGAGGGAAGGAGGAGATCTGGGAGAAGCGTGGATGAGCTGGGCATGGAGCTGAGTGATGGGCTCGAGGACCCAGGTTCCTGCGGGGCGGAGTTGGGGTGTCTGCACAAGTCTGGGCTGTGGATTAGGGACTGTGGGCTGCCCGCCTGCATCTGGGAAGTGCCGGGAGGGGGCAGGGCAGGGGTGCTGCAGGGGACACTGCTTGGGGAAGGGCCGGGTCTCTGAGGGCTGGGCTCACGTGCCAAGTTCCCACCGCTGGGCCCTTGCACAGGCTCACGCCCCCAGCTCCGTGTCTGCACCACTGTGACGTCACTGGGTGCCCTCTGTCCTCCCTGCCCCTCTTGCAGCCCAGGAGTGCTGCTCCTGGGAGGAATGGGCCAGAGTGTGCAGAGGTGCCAGGAGGGAGCTCTGCAAGGGAAGCCTGCTGCACCCCCCTTGTTGCTCTCCGGCCCTTCAGTCCCTCGGCAGCTGCCGCCTCATCTCCTCTCCTCCTCACCGCCTCCTCCCTGCACTCCTGCAGAGGCACCACATTGTCCGAGGGTGCTGCCCGAGGGGTCCATGCCAGCCCCCACAGCTGACAAACCCCTGCTCCCCAGTGACCTCATAGCTGGCAGGATCAGGCTCAGGGACCAACCAGACAGGCCAGTGGAGGAGTGGTTCAGCAAGGGCCCCCAGCAGCCCCTGCAGCTCAGCCAGGACTGGTATCTTCCTGGGCTTTGAGCCGGCTAAGCGGCCCTGAGGGGCTCCAGGCAACCGAGCCAGCAGGGTGGAGGCAGCTACATGGATCATTACCGGAAGTGCCTGGGGTCCACTTGGAATCTCACACCCATCCCAGCTGGCAAGCTCCTTTCTGAGCTGGTTCGGCTCTGGATTTCAAGGTCGTTGCTCGGGTAGTCCTGCCTGAACACAATGAATGCCTGGCAGTCTGTCTGGTTCCTCCCTAGGGCTCACTTGTGGCTCAGTCCCCACTGCTGGGCAAGTGAGTTCCATAAGCAGAGGGGAAGCAATGCTGGCAGGTGGAAATCTCCACTCAGTCCCTCCATAAAGAAGCTTCCTGTCAGCTCATCAGCTTTGAGTTCCAAGGCCCCAGCAGCCCAGCCCTGGGCCGGCCACACATCCCGGAGCGCACAGTAGTATTCCTGTGGAACAGATCCTGCGAGGCTGGCCAGGCAGGGCTGCCCGCTCCCCAAGACAGGCTTGGAGCCAGAGTACAGAGGCATCCAAGATCAAGGTCACACAGCTTGTCCGTGGAGCCAGACCAGGGACCGGGGGGTCCTCTCCAGGTCAAGGGCCCTGCCCCAGACACCAGACCGTGCTTTTCAGGACCCCAAGCCCCAGAGTGGACAAGGCCAATGTCTTTGGCTCTGCTGGCCCAGCTGACACACCATGCCCTTGGGGAGCACCTGGACACCCCTGCCTGCCTGCCTGCCTGTCTGACATAGGATTCCTGAGCCCAGCAGCTGCTTCCCCACCAGGCACAGCTGCCTGCAGCCTCTGTCCCCAGCAAAGGTCTCGCCTGAAACTCGGGGTCAGGGACCAGCAAGAAGGCAAGAGAGGTGTGTGTCCCGGCTGCTCCCTCCTTGGGCAGAGGACTCGCTCCTGCAGCCCATGGAGCTGGAAAAGGCCGGGACAAATGGCTGTGATTTAATCAGACAGTGTCACATCGGGCCTGTCAGCAACGCCAGTCCGCCCAGAGACTCCCTCCGCATCTCTCCCCTCATGTCTGTGTGTGCCTTTCTCTGAGTGTGTGTGTCTGTGTGTGCACTGTATGTACAGCTGGGTGTGCGTGTGTGTGCCTATCCGTGTGCACATGTGTGAGTGTGTGCACATGTGTGAGTATGTGCACGTGTGTGCATGTCTGCAGGCGTGCGTGTCTGCACACGTGTTTGCATGTACGAGTAAGCAAATGTGTGAATGTGTGTGCTTGTGTGTGCGCACATGTATGGGTGCTGTCTACATTTCTCGCCCTATTTCTCAGTCTGTTTCTGACACCTCTCTCTCTGTATCTCTGTCTCTGTTTCTCTCCATCTCTCTCTTTCTGTCTCTCCATTTACGTGTCCCGCAGTCACTTCTCTGTCTCCATGTGTCCCTCAGTCTCTGTCTGGGTCTCTGTCTTCTTACTGTTTCCTTCTCTGGCTGATGAAGTCTCTGTCCCCGTCAGCCGTCTTCTCTCTGTGCCTCCCAGAGACTCTCGGCTCCTCCGTCTCTCTCCTCTGGCCCGTCTAGCCCCGTTTCCACCTCTATCTCTGTGTCTTCCTGCGTCCCAGGTGCTTCTGTCCTTCTCTCGGACTGTTTTCAGGCAGTTCTCTGTCTCCCTGACTCTCCCCTACCCCTGTTTCTCTGGCTTCTCTCCAGGTGGTTTCCTGGGCTGTTCCCCACTCCCCGTCTGCGAGCTGGTTCTCTGAGCCTGGGGCTCTGGGTCTGTGTCTCTCGGAATAGTTCTCTTTGGGTCTCTGTCTCTGTCTGGAGACCCCCCGTCCTTCGTCTGTCTCCCCCCTCTCCCTCACACTCATCTCGAGAGGCCAGACACAACGCCGCCCACCCTGGAGAGAAGACATAGGAAGTTCTGTGCACGGCCACCCCCAGCAGGTTGGGGGGCACATCACCCACTCTCCAGAGCGGCCGCCCCCTTGCATGTATCCATGTTGCCCTTTGAAGCCTGCCCCCCCCCCCACCCCAGCAGAAGAGGCTGTCTGGGCTGACACTGCACAGAGATGGAGGCCAGAGTGGCAATTACCCGGCTAATTTCAGCCGTGTAGACGGCCAAATCAGATATTCCTGTTTTCTTAAAAACCTACCTCAGGGCCTGAATTAGCCACCTAATTAATTATCTGTAACAGCCTGGGAGTTACTGGGTGGAACATGGGTCCCTCCCGGTGCCAGGACGCTGTCCCTGAATCATGTCTCAGTGACGTAAGCATTACAATTAGGCGGAATCTGCAGCCTACCCTTGGCCATGAGGCTTAGGCCATGTGGCGCTGGGCCAGGCTCTCCTGTCTTTTGATTTAATTTGTGTCGATTGGAAACACAGCCATTCTCCACAAGACGATCTGTGTCGGCTCCTGTCCTAGGCGGTAGGAGGGAGGGAGGGAGGGAAGGCAGCACGGGGCCAGGGGAGGGGTCAGGCACCAGGCCTGGGGACAGCGGCGCCTGAGGGTGCAGCCCCCACCTCCTCCCCTTGTTCTTGGCACAACAGCCCCTGTCAGCTCCCTCTCCCCCATCGCAACAGCACTGAGAGAGAGGTCTGCATGCAGATCACCTGATTCATACTAGGCTGTGAGTGACATGCTCCCCTATGCAGACCACACGTGAGCGCAATGCCGTCACACCCAGGGAAGACATCTCTAATGGTGGAATCAGTCCCTGAGAGCTGGTGCAGAGGATGAGCTGCCAGGTCTTCCGTGCCAGCGTGGATCAGCCCCACCTGCAGGACTTCCAGTCCTGAACGAGGGCCTCTGGCCATGACAATGGCCTTGGGCCATGTATAAACTCTTTCCAATAGGAGTCAGCTCAGTTGGAGGAAGAGTCTGTCCACCTCCCAAACACACACACATAAGAAGCTGCATTGGCTCCTTGGAAGATGGTGGGGGCACAGGAGATGTCCCTGGTCTCTCCTTGGACCTCTGTGTTCAAACATGCCTGTGTCCTGCCAGCCCTGGCTCCCTGGGGACAGTGTTGTCCCCCATATCCCAAGTGAAACCCACTGAGTCCTCGCTAAAGCCACAGGTCCAGCTCTGCACCCTCCCCCCAACCCCGAGCTGTTGCAGTCTCTCTGCAGCTCCTCTGTGTCCACAGCTTGACTCACCAGCAGCAAAGTCCTGTCGGGGGGGGGGGGGGTCACTCGGCCTGGCCACAGTTAGGGCTGGCCTTTAGTACTCCCTGGAGCCTTCCCCACCAGGGCTCCCTCTTTGGCTGAGTGGGGGCATTGCTGCTCAGCCTTTCTGGTGGTCTCAGCCCTGACAGTACTGGGGTCAGGTTGAGCTTACACATACCCTCCCACCTTGCCAGTCCCCCCAGCACCCCTCCCCCTCTGTGCTGGCAAAGGAGATTCAGAAAGCCTTGAGTCTCTGTCAGGACACAGTCTTTTTGTCCCCTGCCCTTCTGCTCAGTGTCTGCAGTGGTGCCTCTCGGGTGTCTCCGTGGGTCAGCGGAGCAGCCCCAGCCCCCTGCCCTGCCCTCACTTCCTACCTCCCAGGGCCTGTTTCATCACGAACTCCATGACGATGGCTTTGATTCCTCAGTGGCTCCTCCGAGGGGTCGAAACTCACATGCGCGTGAGGCCAGGAGTCCTGTGCCTGGGAGGGGACAGCAAGGTGGTCACAGTAGCCTGATCAGGCTTGGAGCAGGGGCTCTGTGTGGGAAGGGACCGGCTTCTCCCTCACCTCTGCCAAGCCTTTCCCAGAGTGGGGCCTGGAGGTCTGGGAAATCAATATTTGCCCCACACCCCTTGTTGGGTGGGCCCCTGCCTTGGGAGGGGCACCTTTAAGGTCCCTATGTGAAGTGAGTCTCCACACCTTGAGCAGGATGGACAGGTCCCAGGACCCCAGCCGGATCTGTAAAGCTGTCTGCTTAGGTCCCCGGGCCTTCTGGGGTCCAGCTTTCAGCTGCTTTCTAAGGGGAGGAGGAAGCACTCACAACGCAAGGGGGTCCAGTTCCGAGCAGCCTGACAGCCTATGCTGAGTGGGGGCGGGGCCCAGGGGGCGTTTGAAGGTGACTGGATGTGCTCAGCAGCCCAGGATCCAGGTGGCCACCGCTGGGGTGATCTCAGGGCCACAAGGGTTGGGTATCTCTAAGGGACAGGGAAGGGCCAGGGCAAGTAGGGCCTGAGCAGGTGCCCTTCAGCGGAGGTCCCTGTGGCTTCTGACGAGGGGCATCTGGAAGCCAGGCTCTATCCTGGGGAGGGCTGCCTCCACCCCCTGCACCAGACAGGAACGGGGTGGAAAGGAGAAGCTGCAGGGGGCCCCAGTCTGCAAGGAGCAAACAGGAATGAGGGGGAGGAAAGACCCCTCCATACATCTTTGTGGGGAGATGCTCCAGGGTCCGAGTCCCCTGCTCAGGCCAGCTGGGTCTCTGGTGGCGAAGTGCTTCACACAAAATCACCGCAGCGCCTCCCCCACCTCGTGAGGTCCCTCCTGGAAGGAACCCCGCGTCCCTGGAGACCCACTGTTTTCCCCTCTGCAGATGAAGGAGACCCGCGTGTGCAGGCATGTTGTGGGGAGGGGTGGCCGGGCCAGGGAGTGGAGACTGCAAAGCGCGGGCGCGCAGGGGCGCCTTTGGTGCAAAGCAGATTCTCTCCCAAACTTCTCCCCTGGCTCCAAGGGAGGGAGGGAGGGCGGGAGCCGCAGGGACTCAGCCGCAGAGAGGTTCAGGGTGCTGCAGGAGCTTCCCGAGAAGGCCCAAGCTAGCCCCGGGGCCCAGACCCGCCACACGCGGGCCCGGGGCTCCTGCCGCTGCACCCCTCGGCTTTGCGGGCGAGTTGCCCGGCTCTGCTGAGCGGCCTTAGGCGGGAGCGCGTCAGGAAAGAGAGAAAAAGGCAGAGAGGACGGGAAGGAGAAAGGAAGACGGGAGAGGCTGGGGAGACGGAGAGGCAGAGAAGGGAAGGAGCCCGGAAGAGAGAGCGCGGGTGCGGGAGGGCTCTGGACCGCGGGGCCGCTTCAGCACCACGCCTGCGGACAGCGCCCGCGCGCCAGACCGGGTCCGCGCCGAGTCCCGGCAGAGCCAGAGCCGGGCCGGGGGAGCCGGGCCGGAGTGGACCGGGATCTGGGGAGCAGATATCTGGTGGATCAGGGACCTGGGGGAGCATAGATTTGGGGGGACTGGGACCTGGGGGAGCAGGGCCGGGGGAGCGGGGCCGGCCCGGGCGGGCTGCGCGCGGGGGCGCCGGTTACCTTCCGGGGCCGGGGCGCGGGGCGGGCGATCAGCGGCGGAGTGCGCGCGGGCCGGCCAGGTCCATGTGGCGCCGGGAACTGCGGAGGCTGCTGAAGGGCACCGCGAGGAGGGCGCGTCACACGGAGGAGCTCCCCGCCCCCCGCCCGCGGCCGAGCATGACGAGGAGGGCGGGGGAAGGGCGAGCAGAGGGGCGGGGCGGAGGCTTGGCGGGGGTGGGGCGGGAGCCGCGGAGCCGCGCCCCCAACCCTTCCGGATTTCGGGGCGATCCGGTGCCCAAGATGCCCCGGCCTGACCCTCAACTTTGAACCGCAGACTCCCCCCTCCACTACGCGAGTCCCTTCTGTGTGGACCTGCCCGGGAGGGGGCTGCCCTCCTCCACCACAGAGCCCCCACTCCCACTCCCTCCTCCTCGCGCTGGGTACTCTGTGAGCACGCGAGGGACTGGTGGGTGCAGAACCCCGGGTCGGAGAAAAATCCCTGCTTGTCCAGCCGGAGCAGGGCGGGCGCTTGTGGGGGGGGGTCTCTTACCCACCTCCCCCCAGTTCACTAGGCCAAGGCGTTGCTGGGGGGGCACCGAAGAAGATTTTCCTGGAGCGGGAGGTGACCGTGGTCCTGACTGGGCTGGGTGTCCTCGGCGCCGCCCATAACGCCGACCCCGCCGCTCTCGGGCCTGCTCACTGTAGGGCGGGAGAAGGGCGTCCTCAGACCCCCGAAAGCCCACCCAATCCCCCTTTCAGAGAGAGACTCGCAGACCAGCCCGGAGCTAATTTGCAGTGTAACCGAGTTGCAGACTTAGAAACAGCACCACTGAGTTTCGTTGTAGTGGGACAGGCTGAGGGACGCCCCAAGGAAGCGAGCGCAAGGTACCCCCGCCGTCCCCGGACGGGCAGGCCGGGCGAGCGCTGCGGCGGAGAGGCGGCGGGAGCGCGGGCTGTGTCGGGCGGCCCTCTTTCCCGGCAGGGACGCGTGAAGGTCACTGCGGACTGGGGCGCGGCGCGGGACGGGGCTCTTCGGGTCTGCTCCGCCCCAGGGGGGCCCACTGTAGGTCCGACCCCTCCCCTGCGGCCCCCCTCCCGGGGCATCCGGGATTTCCTCTGCGGCAGGCGCGCACTGCGGTATGAGGAGGTCGGGGTCGCTGCAAGGTCCTGGCGCTGGGCCTCCTGCCGGCTCCTTGCTCGGGGATTGCGGGGATCCCGACCTGCGGACCTGCAGACAAGGACTGCGCCTGGCTGCAGGCAGGGACTGCAGCTCAGCTGGGGGTCTGAGTCACTCGGGGGGCCCACAACAGCTCCAGGTTGAAAAGGCTGCTCGGCAGGCAGCCCAGGGGTGGCGACCGGCAAGCACTTTTCAGTAAGTGGCCAGGTGGCCACTGCGTGAACCAGTCACTGTCCTCGGCTGCCTGAGTCATGGGGACTCCTTGAGGCCTGGAGTAGAAGGGACCATCCTGGAGCTGCCCGTACCCCTCACCAGCCCCAGGGACAACCACCATCCTGGCTCCTCTCTGCCCCTCTCAGCCTCCCCTCCACCCTGCAGGAAGCTTAGCCTGCCGCAGAGAGCCTGGACACCTGGATCCACATGGGACCTTGTGCTCTGTTCCCCTCCCTTGGATGACCACCTCCAGGTCAGGCAGGGTGGCAGCGGCCTGACAGGGGACCCTCAGCAGACCAAGGATGAGGGCAAGGGGAACCAGGGAGGCCAGTACTGCTCCCTGTGGTGGGGAGGGGGTCGGGCAGGGTCCCACTCAGGCCTCCACTGCGGCCAGCGTGGATATGAAGGGACGTAGGAGGCAGGAGCAAATTTGGGCAGGAGGCCCGTGTCAGGGATTTGGGGTCTCCCTGCCACACGGAGCTGCAGCCTCTTGGGGACTCAGCACTGTCATTCCTCCCACTGACAGCTCCTGTCACCTGTAGCCTGGAGGTGGGATTCACAGGCCCTGCCCTGGAGGTGCCAGGTGAGGAGTGAGAAGTGAGGGGCCCGGATCTGCCCTCAGGAGCACCCAGGCCTGGGATGTGGTTTGCAGCCAGGGGGGCCTGATCACCACTCTGTGCAGGGTTAGCGGCCTCTCCCCTGATGGCCCAGGAACAAGGGAAGATGAGGTGCAGGGCCCTCCAGCATGTTCGGAGCCTGGGAGGGATAGTGGAGGGAGGGTCTGGGTCCAGCAAAGAGAGGGATCACTTCTCCCCATGGACCCTCTTCTCCCCACCGTCACCCCCAGGAAGGGCCTGGTGGGTGACCCCACAGCTAACCTCCCAGTGGTGAGCCACAGAGGTCCCTAGAGGTGAGCCAGGCTGACCCACCACCACCCCTCGCCTGCTACACAAACCTTCTGCAAGATGCCCAGGGACCTCAGGGGCAGGCTCTGGTTGGGCGGGGGCAGTCCGCGTAAAGTCTGCAGGCCCGGGTGGTGCCCCCAAAAGCAGGTCATCAGACAGGGTGTTGGGAGCATCCAGGGGTCCACGCCTCAGTGCTGTTCCCATAACCAGGGCCTGACAGACCTCCTCATGGGTCCACAGTCAGGGACCCATGTGGGCCCATGCATTCTGCCTGCCCCCCGCCCCCCGTGTCTCTCTGTCTGTCTTTTTCTCTCTGTCTCTCTCTCCCTCTGTCTCTCGTCCCCCTTCTCTCCCTGCCTCCCTGCCTCTCTTTGTCTCTCTGACTCTCTACCTCTCTGTTTCTATTTTCTGTTTCTCTCTTTCTCCTTCCCTCCCTCTCTGTCTCTTTCTCTGTCTCTCTGTCTCTCTCTTTCGCTGTCTGTCTCCATCTCCCTCTGTCTCTAGCTGTCTCTGTGTGTCTCTGTCTTTCTCTCCTTATCTCCCTTACGTCACTGCCCCCCCCCACAGACCCCCACTCAGCACTCACACTTCTCAGGCCCTGAGCTGGGAGTGGGGGCCCAGCCAAGACTCAGTCCCTTCCTGGGTGAAATAGACAAGGTTGGTGACAATTCCAGGTCAGACCCCAGTGGTCCGGGAAAAGGAAGCCAGGACGGCTTTAAGGATGGTGGGAGCTCAGGGAGAGTCGTGAGGAAGTGATGTGGGCTGGAGCCAGCATGGAACAGCTCGTGCTGTGAGGGCTGGGGCAGAAAGGAGGCACGGGCTGGGCCCAGGGTGGTCTTCCCTGGGGCAGGGGGGAGGCACAGGCTGGGCCCACGTGAGTCTACTCTGTGCAGAGGGGAGGCGTGTGGCAGATGGCCTCCGCCCAGCTACATGACCACACCCAACTCCCAGGGTCAGGCAGTGCCTGAAAGAGAACCTCAAGTATTGGACCAACTGTCTCCAAACCCCCATGGGTCAGAAAGAGGCACAAGTTTAGCAAGAAAAATGTGTAACTCATAGGACAGCTGAGCAGAGGAAGGGATAGCAGAGATTGCCAGCTGATGAAGATCCAGGAGGGGAGAGCTG